CTGCTGGGCTATAACCGCGAAGCTCGAGTAGAGCTCGCCAATGATTCATGGGGCGATCTCCCAGTACCAACCATCTTCAACAATCGTTTTAAACTGCTTGTTCTGGCATATCTGCTGCAGGTCCATACGTCGGAGCCACGGCGCTTCAACGCGGGCTGGCCAGCCTTGCCCTTAAGAGCTTCTTGCTTGCAAGAAGCCGTGGTGTGTCCACGCCCGGCTGTCGCGCGCCGTTCTGACTTGTCAATCGGCGCGAGCAGCCCGTCGGCTCGACCCACGGGTTGCGTGCGTTCTGCGATGCGCCCCCACCGAGCTGGCGAGTTCACCCCGAGCTCAATGCGCAAAGCATGCGACGGCTGCCTCAAATAAGCCCCGCGCGCCTGGATGCGAGCCCCCCCGCGGCGCGCGCTGCGCGGACACAAAAACAGCCGCCCTCGATTCACTGCGCGCGAAGAACTGGGGCTTGATCTCATCCACCGCGCAAAACAACCTATGCTCGCGAAGCCCTTCAGCAACAGATCTGGGCGCTCGTTCGCCTTGCTGTTTGCCTGGCTGAGAATCGCCGCGAACTGCCCATCGGTCGCGAGGGGGGGCTGGGCCGCCGCGCATGGCCGACAGCGGCTGCAATGAATGGTCTGCCCCCAGGAGCTGCAGCGCACGAGCGCGCGAGGACCCCCTGCGAGCCAAGGCAGCCACCCCACTGGAGATAAAGTGTACCGAATTGGGGTCGCGCCCCAACATGCGCACGCAGTAACCACAGCCCGCCATCTCCCCCAACGGCGACGACGACGGCGACAGCGAAGACGACGGCGTCGGCGACGGCGACGCCAACGACGCAGCCGCCACCGCCGACGACGACGAGGAGCCCCTTGAGGGCGCATTTGAGGGGGGGAGACGCGAGGCGCCAGAGGGCGCGCGCTGGCCAAGGGCGGCTCCGCCAGAGATCCCGAGATGCCCCCCCGCCCTTCGATCGCTAGGAAAAGCGCAAGATTGTCCAATGCGGCCCCCAGAATGCATCCAAGAGCCTTCGAGACCGCCCCGTTCAGTGTGATGATGTGTTGCTGGTGTGATGTATATCGTATGGTGCTAATGTGTGTAAGCTGTGTTGCGCCGCCGCTGTCGTCGCCAACGTCGACGTCGTCGTCGGCGTCGTCGTCGCCATCGGCGTCGCCGCGGTCGTCGACGGCGGCAACTGGCAGCGAATCAGCACGTCGACAGACTTGCCTGGCGAAGCGCCCAACCAGATGCAGCTGTAAGTATCGCAGCTGTGACGACCATATTCGGTGGGCCTCCTCATGAGGCCACGAAGCGTGCGAAGGGTCCGCCGACGTTTCGCGGCGCGGGCGCACGCGGGCGGCGCCGCTGCGACCTGTTGTGGAGCACCCTTATGGGGCCGCGCAAGGAGCGAGGGGCGCGCCGACACAAGTAGCGCCGACGCGCGCGAGCGGCGCCACTCGGATCTGAAGCGGGGATCGGGGCTACGAAGCGCGCGAAGGGCGTACGCGGATAAATGGCTCGGACCCACGTGGGCGCCGCCATTCATGGGCTTTCGGCAGGCCCCTCCCACGCGGGGCCGCGATGCGCGCGGGCGGCGCGCCGAAATTATGCGAGGAGGACGGGGGGGCGGGGGGCGAATGTGACCGCGCCCGCTGGGATCTTCGGCGGCGCTCCCCACGGGGCCTCGAAGCGCCCGAAGGGCGCGCCGGCGCGGGCGGGGGGGGGGCGCGCGTGCACGCGCCCATTGGGGCTTTCGGTCGAGCGAAGGGCGCGCCTAAATGAGCGGCTGACCCGCTGGGGCATCCGGCGGGGGTCCTTGCGCGGGGCCGCGAAGCGCGCGAGCGGCGCGCCGACTTGGACGGGGGGGTGGGCGCATGCAATCGCAACCGCTGGAGCATTCGGCGGATATCCCCATGGGGCAGCGAAGCGCGCGAGGGGCGCGCCGAGATCGGCGGCGGCCACGCATGCAGGCATGCCCGCTTGGACCTTCGGTGGAGCTCCTGCCACGAAGCGCGCGAGGAGCGCGCCGCACATGGCGGGGGGGCGCGCGCAATCGCACCCGTTGAATCCTTCGGTGGAGCCCCCGACGGGGCCGCGAAACGCGCATGAGGCGTGCCGATCAAGGCGGGGGGGCGCATTGCGCGCGCACCCGCAGGGGCCTTCGGTGGAACTCGCGAGAGGGCCGCGAAGCGCGCCAGGGGGGCATGGGGCCGCGAAGCGCGCGGGGTGGGGGCGCCGAAATGGATGGCCGGGGCGCGCGCAATCGCGCCCGTGGGCATTCGGCGGAGCTCCCTATGAGGCCGCGAAGCGCGCGGGGGGGGCGCCGAAATGCGCGGGGGGCGCGCTTGGCCGCGCCAGCTGGGGCCTTCGGCGGAGCTCCCTATAGGGCCACGACACTCGCGGGCGCGCCCGTGGGCCGGCGAAGCGCATGAGAGGCGCTCCGAAATGGGCGGGGGGGGGGGCGCGCGCAATCGCGCGCGCGCACGCGCGCGCACTGGGTCCTTCGGCGGAGGGCGGGCTCGGGGGGGCGCGCGTAATCGCGCCCACTGGGACCTTAGGTGGAGCTCCCTATAGGTGACGAAATGAGCGAGGGTGGCGCGCGCAATCGCGCCCGCTGGGACCTTCGGCGGCACGGGGCCGCGAAGCGCGCGAGAAGTGCACCGAAATCTGCCGGGGCGACGCGCGCGATCGCGCCCGCTGCGGCCTTTGGCGGGGCCCCCTGCGAGGCAGCGGAACGCGCGAGCTGCGCGCCGACATGGGCGGGGGGGAACGCGCGCAACATTGCGCGCAGGGGCATTCGGCGGACGGTTCCACAGCGCGCGCGCGGGCGTTGCAAGATTGGCGGGGGGGCGCGTGCAATCACGCCCGCTAGGACCTTCGGTGGGGCCCCCTATGCGACAGCGAAGCGCGCGAGGGGTGCACGGAAATATGCGGAGTAAAGCGCGTAATCACCCGCCAGGGCCTTCGGTTAAGCTCCCCATGGGGCCGCGAGGCGCGCGACGGGCGCGACGATCTGGGTGGGCGAGGTGGGGGGGCGCGCGCAATCGCGCCCGCCGGGGCCTCCGGTGGAATTCCATTTGGAGCAGCGAAGCGCGCGAAGAGTGCGCCAGGTTGCGCGAAGGGGGGGGCGCGTGTAATTGCGCCCATTGAGGCCTTCGGTGGAGCCCCCTTTGGGGCCGCGAAACGCGCGAGGAGTGCGCCGAAATTGGCGGGGGGCGCATTGTAAACGCACCCGCTGGGGCATTCTTCGGCGGAGCTCCCGGCAGGGCCGCGGAGCGCGCGAAGGGGCGTGCCGAAATGGGCGAGGCGGCGCGCGCAAGCGCGCCAACTTGGGCAGTCGGTGGGGCCCCCTAAAGGGCCGCGAAACGCGCGGGGGGCGCGCCGACACGGGTGGGCGGACGCGCGCAATCGCGCCCGCGGAGGCCTCCGGAGGAAATCCACATCGGGCAACGACGCGCGCGAGGGGCGTGCCGAAATTGGCGCGGGGCGTGCAGCCGCGCCCAGTGGGACCTTCGGTAAACCTCCCTATGGCGCCGTGAATCGCGCGCGGGGGGCGCGCCGAAATGGGCGGGGGGGGGCGCGTGGAATCACGCCCGCTGGGAACTTCGGTGGAGTTTTTTTTTGGGGGGGGTCCGCGAAACGCGTTAGGGGCGTGCCGAAACGGGCGGGGGGGGGCGCATGTAATCACGCTTGCTGGGGCCTTCGGCAGGGTTCCCAACGGAGCCGCCGCGCCGCGCGCGAGGGGCGCGCCGAAATTTGCGGGGGGCGCGCGAAGCCACGCCCACCTGCGACCTTCGGTGGAGCCCCCCATGGGGAGACGAAGCGCGCGATGGGCGCGCCGGCATGGTGGGGGGGGGGGGGCGCATGTAATCACACCCAGCGGAAACCCTGGTGGAGTTCCACGTGGGGCCGCGAAACTTGCGAGGGGCGCGCCGACATGGAGGGGGGGCGCATGCAACCGCGCCCGCCGCGACATTTGGTGGAGCCCCCCACCGCCACGCGCGCGAGGGGCGTGCCGAAACAAGCGGGGCGGGACGCGTGTAGTCACGCCCGCCTGGGCCCTCGGCGGGGCGGGTTGTGCCGAAAGTTGTCTGGGGGCGGCGCGTGGAATCGCGCCGACTGGGACCTTCGGTGGAGTTCCCCATGGGGCCGCGAGGCGCGTCACGGGCGCGACGGAATGGGCGGCGATGATGGCGGCGATGAGATGGCGACGATGATGCGACGATGAGAATGGGAAAAGGGAGGGAGGAAGAGAGGAAGAGGATGGATGCGGGGCGCTGTTTTTTTTTTTTTTTTTTTTTTTTTCAAAACGAGGACCCACCACGACAGGATTAGTGGGAACAACACATGGGAGTCGCCGTCAGCGTCGTCGTCGTCGTCGCAATCAAACGTCGTCGCCTTCGCCGTCGCAATCAAGCGTCGACGACGAGCGCGCCAAAACCGAAAATTGTTGACCTGCGGCGCAAGTCGCGCACGATGATACCTGTACTTCACGGCCCACCGCTCTGCATAACCAGCAGATTGCGTGGCGTTGTTTGACCCTCCCCCCCTCCAAATGCACGCTGCCATGCGTTTACGCACTGGTGCCACTGCAACTGATTTGCCTGCCACGATAGAAGCTGACATGTTGTTTCCCCCTTGCTATTTCCAAATTCAGATCAGGGGCGCGCGTCGCAGGATAGGAGGTGCAACGCACATAATGCTTATAACAACGCATTAATTACATATATATATATATATATATATGTGTAGGTATATGTGTGTTTTCCGTACATATGATCGCGGTGCCTGAATTGTTTACACCCATAGTCGACATTTGCAAAGCATGAATCATGTGGGCTCGTGTTTTGTCATTTTTGGTAATATATGCTGGAACAGCGCGCACGTGCGCGCGTGCGCGTGAGTACGCGCGTGTGCGTGCGCGCGCGTGCGCGTGCGCGCGCGTGTGCGCGTGCGTGTGCGCGTGCGTGCGCGCGCGCGTTCTCGTGCGCGTGTGTGCGAGCGTG